AAAAATTAGATCGAACGTTTATAGAAAATATCTTGTAAATAAATTTCTGAACAAAAGGTTATTTTATATGAATAACTCAGATGCTGACAAAGGCGCTTCATTATTTAGAAGTTAAAGAAACACTACCAAACGCTATAAATATGAGTACTATATCTGGTAAACTACTAGTACATTTATGTTCATCAAAAATCTATATCCAGACTTTCTCTGATAAGTTTAAAAATACTATTGAATTCGCGTTCACTCATCGAAATAGAATCAATAAAATTGACAACGGACGTCTGTGAAAGCCATGTCCACAAACCAACCTGTAAGTCGTTTGTTTGTAACTGAAACATCATATATCTCGTTAATCCAAGGAAAAAGCACAACTTATCTCTCCAAAGAAATGTTGATACGTATCAAAGTTTAAAAAGGACCCTTTGTTAGCATGAATCACTATAATTAGCACACATAATTCCCTTTCGATTGAAAAACCACATTGAACTCAGAGTCCCCTAGTGGAAATATTTTAACTCTAATAGGGCTCAGAAATCAACCTGGTCGTGTAAAAATGTCTTAAATAAGAAGCAACACTTCAAATGACCTGTAAACGCTGGTACTGAAAATAAGGCTTATCTACGTCAGGTTTATATGGACTGTCAAAAAAGACCTTCCCGTGGTTAGAATTGCTATTTAGTAGAAAAAATAAGTGGTTGACTAACTAAAGTTGTAGCGAACGATCACCGTTAACCGTTCGCAAGGCCAGAATATGCAAAGCTTTCAAGCGTCTTCGTGTTTATATCAATTTGGTTATGCGAGGATTGAAGTTAATCACCCAGATTATTTACTACTTTAGAGCATTCGGATTAATAGGAAACAATAAGACGTTTTTGGCCAAATGTATCATTCAGTTAATCTCAACTGTATCCACTGAGTCTTCAAACAGGTTATTTTCTTTACTCTAATTTTCCAAGTTCCTACGATATTTTTAATCACACCGTCGACTTCCGAACGCTTACCATTGTCGAGTAATAGAAAAAAATTACTTCGCATAACATTTATGAATATATATAAATCAAGATAAAATTTTATGCAATATCTATTCTCTGGTTACTGATATATTTAAGATAAACTCGCTAGTTTCAACCTAGCAATCAATTAATACTGAAAAGTCAGCGTGTGGAGATGAAGTCATCAGTAACAGGTTCAACAGGCAAAACAAAACTGGATAATAATCCCAAATGACTCACAAACTGTTTAACCTACGAGATTATTATTTTCCTTTAACTTACATACGCCTGTTACTCCTCAGGGAGGAGCATAAGCCACCCACCAGCACTCTCCATCTAACCGCGTCCTGGACAATCCTTTCCAGTTACCGTTCATCCTTTTCATGTCCACTTCCGGTTACCGACGCAGTGTGTTCTTCGGCCTTTCACTTCTCCGTTTCCCTTCAGGATTCCAAGTTAGGGCTTGCCTTGTGATGCAGTTTGGTGATTTCCACAATGTATATCCTATCCACTTCCAACGTCTTTTCCTTATCTCCTCTTCAGCTGGAAGCTGGTTTCTTCTCTCACATAGTAGGCTGTTGCTGATGATATCCGGCCAACGGACATTCAGTATCTTACGTAGACAATTGTTTATAAATACTTCTACCGTTTTGATGATGGTTGTGGTAGTTCTCCAAGTTTCAGTTCCATACAGTAGAACTGTCTTGACGTTCGTATTGAAGATTCTGACTTTGATATTAGTTGACAGTTGTCTTGAGTTCCATATGTACTTCAGTTGTAGGAATGCGGACCTTGCTTTGCCAATCCTCGCCTTTACTTCTGCATCAGATCCTCCTCGTCCGTGAAAGATTCCACATCTTCCATAGCTTCTCCATCAAGTGTGATTGGGTTGGTGCTCTTCGTATTGTATTTGAGGATCTTGCTTTTTCCTTTGTGTATGTTGAGGCCTACGGATGCAGAGGCTGTTGCTACACTAGTTGGCTTCATCTGCATTTGCTCGTGTGTATGGGATAGAAGGGCCAGGTTATCTGCGAAGTCCGAATCTTCTAATTGGTTCTGAGCTGTCCATTGTATGCCGTGTTTTCCCTCAGATGTCGAGGTTTTCATAATCCAGTCGACCATCAAAAGGAAGAGAAACGGAAAAAGTAATCAGCCTTATCTGACTTCGGTCCTCGCTTGGAATGAATCTGTTAGCTGTCCTCCATGCAGCACTTTGCACTGTAGTCCGTCGCATAAACTCCGTATGATATTGACGATTTTCTCAGGTATACCATAGTGTTGAAGTTTCCATAAGGTTCTCCTGTCCACACTGTCAAACGCCTTCTCATAGTCAGTGAAGTTGATGTATAATGACGAGTTCCACTCAACAGATTGTTCGACGATGATTCGTAGCGTGGCAATGTGGTCTGTGCACAACCGATCCTTACGGAATCCAGCCTGTTGATCTCGATGTTGGGCGTCTATTGAGTCTTTTATCCGTTTTAGCAACACTCTGTTAGACTTTCCCTGGTACTGACAGCAGTGTGGTGCCTCTGTAGTTCTCACATTTGCTCAGATCTCCTTTCTTTGGAATCTTGATGAGGTGTCCTTGTTCCCAGTCCATCGGAACTTATTCTTCCTCCCAAATCTTCCTGAATAGAACGTGGAGCATGTTTGAAGTTACTTCAATATCTGACTTCAGCTAATATATTGTCAGGTCCTGTGGCTCTCCCGCTCTAGATTTGTCTGATGGCCATCTTGATTTCTCTGGTTGGTGCAGTGACATCTATATGAAGGTCTGTGTGTGCTGCTTCGATATCCGGTAGATTCAATGAAGCTGGTCTATTCAACAGTTTCTTGGAGTATTCCACCCGTCTGTTCCTCTGTTCTTGAATCTCGGTGATTGTCTTGCCTCCTTTGTCCTTGACCGGTCTCTCTGGCTTATCATATTTCCTTGTTAGTTTCTTCGTTGTGTCATATAGCTGTCTCATATTTCCTTCTCTAGCAGATTTTCTCGCTATCATTGCTAGTTCTTCCACGTATTTCTGCTTGGCAGCTTCAATGCTCTGCTTCACTTGCTTGTTTGCTTCCGTGGCCTCAGCTTGTGCTTTGACTTTCTCTGCTCGTGTTCGGCTGTTGTTGATTGCTGTCTCCTTTTTCTTTCTTTCTTTGATCTTGTCCAGTGTTTCTATAGAGATCAATTCCTTATGATGATGCTTGTTGCGGCCCATCACCTCCTGACACGTTGATGTTGTCCTCCATAGTAGTTCCATGTTCTTTCAGTAGAACCTGTTGTTGAGAGTTATCTCGAATTCTTTCAGTTTGTTAGTATCTCGAAGGAAGGCTGTATTGGACCTTTGTAATACTGTTTCCCCAGCTGTCCAGTGTTTCTTTAGCTTCAATTTTATACTGGACATAACCAGGTGATGATCTGAAGTCATGTCTGTTCCTCTCCTAGTTTTCACGCCTTCCATTGTCCTTCTGAATTTTTTATTGATACAAATATGATCTATCTAGTTCGCTGTGGTGTGATCCTGTGAGACCCATGTAGCTTTACGTATGCGTTTGTGTAGTAATAATGTACCACCTATAACCATGTTGTTGAATGGACATAGGTTTGCAAATCTCTCGCCATTTTCTTTTCTCTCTCCCAGTCCATGTCGTCTCTTGATATCTTCATATCCGGTGTTGTCCATTCCGACCTTGGTGTTTAGGTCTCTCATCAGGATAGTCGGTTTTTTTCTTAAGTACTTCGTTATAGTTGATTGCAGCCTCTCATAGAACTGATCTTTATTGTCGTCGTTACTATTATTGGTGGGTCCATATCACTAGATAACATTCATCGTAATGACCTCCCTCTTTGTTTTGCATGATGCTTTGGTGATTCTGGATCAGTGAGATTCCCATCCTATACACACACTACGTACTTCTTTGAACAGCATCAGACTAATTCCCTGCGCGTATGAAGTACATCAGCCTCTCTCTCGTATCTAGCCTTTGCTGTCCAGCTTGAGTTCAATAGGCTTCGCTGATTTCCAGCAATGCCAATTTGTATATCCTCACTTCCGTTGTTATCTGGCTGGTCCTCACATTATCCGGACGTTCCATGTACCTGTGAAAAATGTTGCTCTGGTTGTTAGAAGAGGTATCGGCCTCGTGACTTCAGAAGAATCTCGGCTTTCATCCTGAGGCATCATAATTCTCCCTTCAATTCCTAGAGAAGAGTTTCAAAGGTTTAATTTTTTTAATCTGGTTGACGTTTTTTGGCAGGATTTTCTTCTACGGGATGGGGCTGCCAACCCCATGCCCAACCGTCTTACTTTACCTGGGCATGGGACCGGCAGTAACTCTAGAAGAGCCACAGGCGTAATTTTTCTTTACGCTGATCTAAATAACATTGTATTTTTGGTAAGCAATATTTTCAACTAATTTCGACTACGCGATTCTACTACTAGACAGCAGATTGGTGATCCATATATGAGGTGAAATATCCTCAAGTTAACGCCACTAGACTATTGTCCGCCATAGTAAGAAGGGCAGTCTGCTACAACGTAAGACCAAACACATATGTGCATCGGTCCAAGTTGCCATACCTCATTAGCACAACAAGATGAACACCGGATTTATAGAAGTGGTTAATTCGGTGGTGGTAATATATAAAAGAAAGATCGCATACAAGGACGTAGTACAAGAACAAAGAATTAGTTCGTAGAAAGAAAGACACTTCCAACAGTAAGAAGGTATAGAAAAGAGTTTAATTACTTGTCAGAAGAAAAGGTGTAAATATGAGATGCAAACGCTTTTATGAAAGTGAATCACGTGACTAAAATGACATCATACTAACCTGAATATAATACGTATAAACCAAGTATGCATCGGATGCAATGTCTGCGAGGTAACTGATTATAGAAATGAGAAATATCACAACTTGATACCACCGAAATCCATGAACTTTAAGAAACTCAACTAGTCTTATTTCATCCTCAGGCTGAACAACAGTAGACAATGGAGGAGCACTTGAGTGTGGAGTAACAAAGGAACTGGATGGTTCATCGAAAGAATTTTGTTTCGAAATCGAAGCATCTGTAATATCACAAACAGTAAGTGATTCTACTTTGCTCTTATTCCCCATGAGATTACTGCTGGAATGTAATGTAAATGATGAGTTTTAGTTGATACACTGAATTAAGAAAGTCGGTATCTAAACACGGAAGTAAAATATCAATGAAAGGAGATATTCCAAAAACCCGTAGTAAAATTTATACTCCTGACACATATCAGTATCACCTTCCTATTTTGGTTACATCTCTAATAATGGTTAGTGACGTTATAAGGATACCACATAGTTGAAATAAACGTATGATTTAAACAGTACAATTGTAGTATCCAAATGTGTCGTCAGTCCACGGAATCATTGACAGTTAATCTGAACTATGTAGGTAGCTGCATACAACCTGGTTTGGGTGCGTTTCGTGCGATTATCGCAACTAATAGTTAGAGACTGGGTTAAATGGCTCGTAATTGTTCACAATGGCGTTAGTACATTTACCATCCGTTTTCGTTTAGATCCTAAATTACCTAATTGTCTTTAGAAAAAATTTCAATTATATGAATCCCTATTTTATCGAGTCATTTCTCTGATCCCCTTTTCTGTTATCACTAATACTGCTACTACTTATACTACTCTGGAATACCCTGTATTTACGTAATGTAGCGAAACATGCACGTCTGTGTCAGGTCCTACGTTACATGTGACTGGCTAACTGTACAGTTGTAGTGATGAGCAAAAGTGCTTCAACGTTTCACTTACTTTTCCGTCGATATGGTACAAAATATTCCTAGAGTATCATTCAGTATTATCTGTGATTCAAGTTTGTGATGTAAATTGCTTTGTGGATTAAGCTGAAAGTGCATCTTTCACTACTCATATGACCAAATACAAAATTCAAGTATCCACTAAAGTGTATTTATTTTAGGAATACCTCGATTCCCGATTATATTCGAATATATTTTTAGTAAGACGATTAAAATAGTCTTAGGTTATATTTTACTTCAACATGATAAGGGAGTTTAAACTGAAGTTTTTTCTCCAGAATCTTTCATAAAATTTACTCTGAAAATAAAAAAAAGTATCCTTTAGGTATTTTTGGGATGATTCCGACTTAACGACAGCAAATACTCATGTTGCCATCTTCTAAGATAAAAAAGTTTCTGTACCGCGAGTGAGACGATTGTGATCTAGATCACCATAACAAAGTGGATTACAGTTATTATGAAAAGGTAAACGGAAACGCCAAAACTTAAAATTATTCACTGGATTAACACCACTTCCATTGATCTGCGCACCTTGCTACATGGACAACGATCTACACATCAGCAGACTGTTTTACTTAATTGGAACAAAATGAATGGTATATCATAGAGCGAATGAAATACTTGTACATCATTTACGTATTCTACAGTCAGTGAAGAGATATTTGATGCTTAGATGGTTTAGAAAGCTTACAATTGCGATGCCCATGTCAAAGATTAAGCTTTTTCGCCGGAAATACTACTGGCATAATAGTCGAGAGGTTTATTTGGTTGCTTGGAATCTTGATATAAGCCGTGTAATTTGTAGTTATATTTAGATTCTGTTCACTTAGTTTACTTCTGCTTTAAGTAAACAAGTATTTTCTGTTTTTATAATCGAAATACCATTGGAACACTTTTTTTTAAAATGGAGTGAAAGCATACATTGTTTGACCGTCATGTTGCACAGGGAAGTTAGCCCACATGGGAAGTGCTTGCCAAGACCATTTTGTAACCAATACCTTTGATGGTTGCACACAATGTAGGTTGGGCAATCCATTTTCATTTCGATTGAACCTAAACATAACTTGGAGATAGAAATGTGATAGTAAAAATGAAGTACTTCTGGATACTAAAAACAGATGAAATTACACAAGAGTATACATTTCTCATTAAGCACACAAATTGAAAAACTGGCAGGTGTCATTCGAAATATGAACAGCAGATTTATTGCTTAAAAATCTGTATGTATATATCGCTGATACTGCATAGAGTTTGCAGCTCGATATAACTGAGTAATACTCACTAGTCGTGTGATAAAATGGGATAAACTTTGACAGAATGAAACGCTTGAATGGGTGGCTCTTAAGACGTCTAGTTACTTTATGGGCAGAGAAAATAACAACTTTGGCAAACAATAGACAATTTAAAGCATACTAATATGTAATACAGAACCAGACTATGTTCAGGTGATCAGATGAAAAGACATGAGCTCCTAAAAATTTCTGAAAATACACTTTGTAGTCTTTTTATCATTTGCTGCTACACTATTCCGATCTCAATTACTCCCATCACGCCGTGCTAATGTAGTATGACTTTAGCCAAGATATATATGTGCCAGGCTCTACGCTGATGGTGTCTGTCTATGGTAGTACCGTATTACATACAAATCAAGATTAAAAACGACTTTAACTAAGCCAGTAAAGTTAGCTTTAATTCATTTTAATCTAAAATTAATGCTAATGGTGATGGTATATACTGCATATGACTGTAATGACTTAAAGCTATCACAAATGAAGGCTTCTTACTCTTTAACAGTGATTTTCAATCATTCAGTCATCCAAAACGTAAGATCTGAGACAAGTATATATATACTTGGTATACATATATGTATCCACCAAAGTCCCTACCCTACGATTAAGTGCACCTATCGAGAATTAACAAAAGTACAAAAGCAATATAAAAAATAATGTAAAGCTAAATATGGGCATGGTTGGAAAAAGCGGAAGAAACGATGAATAACGACTACTCTGCAATCTGACTCAATATGCACTGGAAAACGAATAACGAGTGTAACTGCTCCATTGCGACCGATTCAAGGCTGTTTTAGCTAGTGTTTGAGTTTATGAATTGTGATCATACTTTGGATTCCAATCTACAATCCTATTCTATTTACATCGCTCACACTAGTAACCTAAGAGTGATGTCAAGACTCAGTTTGGGCGCCACTAATATCCTCCAAAATTAATCCAATGTCAGCCAGCAAAACAGACCAGAGATGACAGAGGCCAGGCTTGCACAACATATGTCTGAACAGCCTCAATAGATGAAAGTCTATAGTCACATTAGTCAACTTTTTACGTGAACCGAACGCCTACCCTGAGCACTACCTCGGGTTATTACTAAACACGACGAATGCTTCTAAAACACACGATCAGACAATTGCAACCTATGCAGATCATCTAATTCACAGGTTGTTCCGGAGCTACATAAAAAATGTCGTGAAATAAGCAGGGAGACAATATGAGTATCACAAGAGTTGTGAATCGGCAAAAGCTGGACGAACTCTATGCATCTGTTACGAGATTTCGTTAACCGTCGAACCAGTACAGTTGATAGAGAGAGTTCATCCTCCCTCTCGAAGTGATCTTACATGACCACGCGTATACAGCCACTAACAGGGAAGTCCTTCCCACTTTTTTTGCGGCAAGGGTGTTGTTACGAATTTGAGAGGACGAAAGGTGAATATACGATACCTTAGGGGAGTTGTAAAACCCTGATTCCAAATGAGTGCTGCACATCGGCTTCAGGGTCTTGAGGGAACGAATGGTGTACGAACCTATTGTTGATCACCGGCTAGCATGGGACTGCATCTCACAATGCTGCTCCACCTTCTTGTGGATTGGAACTTTAGATCAAGGGCTCGGGGTGTGGCCCCCTAAGGGACCCTTTAGTATCCACGTCTGGTCTTGCTGGCGTCGGTTTCGCACTAAGCGCTAGAGCTGAGGCAGCACTAATCGATTGAATTCCCATTAACTGTCAGCTACGTGCTGTCCGATTAGAAAGTTCCATCGAAGTAAGACGTCGGTGTGAGAAACGATGTCTTTTCGTCATCTCCGCCTATGCCCCGACAGATTGCAGCCCGGATGCAATCAAGGATGAATTCTACCACCAGCTAACAGTTCTTCTATAGAAAGTGTGTTCGACAGATACTCTAATACTATCCGGAGATCTGAATGCTGATTTTGGGCGTCTAGGCGCAGAAGAGAGTCGTTTAGGTGGCTGATGGGGACTTGTTGATCGAAGGACAGATAACGGGGACCGTCTACTGCAACTGTGCACAGATCACAACCTGTTTCTAGCTAGCACTTACTTCCGGCGCAGTCATCGCCGACATTCCATGTGGCGTCCTCCCTCTGTATCTCAAGCCTGAACTCAGATTGATCACATCGCGATCAGCTACTGCTGGCGTGGTTGTGTACAAGACTGCCTCTCCTTGTGGAGTACCTATCTGGACTCTGATCAGGCCCTGGTCTACACTATCATTACATTATTTTTCATTGGCCAACAAATTCAGCGTCCCAAAAAGATCGATGTCACTAACTTGATCGCAGCCTCTCTTGCGACTAAAATATCAAACCGAGCTGACACCCAACTTAAAGTATCACTGGCCAACAATTATAGGTTTTCTTGACTTCGAGGCTGCCTTCGATTCGTTGGATAGGACTGTTCTCTGGGATTGTCTAGTGAAGAAGGGTATGCCTTAGAAGATTTTGACATCCTGAAAGCCACATACGCAAACACTTCTGGCAGAGTAAGAGCATACAACCACCTTTCTCCATTGTTCCATTCAAGCAGTGGGCTCAGACAGGGTTGCCCAATCTCACTATTCCTCCTCAACTTTGCCATCGATGACATTCTGGAAACAGCTCTGATGGATGTAAGTAATGGTGGTATGGATCTGTTGTCTGGAGAAAGAGTTCTCGACGTTGATTATGCAGATGATATTGTCTTATTGTGCGATGATATCCAAGCCATACAATCCTCGCTTAGTCAGCTCCCTTAGGAACTGCGTGTGCTTTGCACCTTCGAATTGCAAAGTACTTTTACAAGACTGACAGGACCCTGATCCTGCACTCACCATTTCTAATGGCGAAGTCAGTTTCAAAATAAATAAGGACAGTCGGCACGCCTAATAATAAATATGACGCAACAAATCAAGCTGACTGTTGAGGGCATTGGCTAAATAAGTAGTATTCAACTACAGTATACAGATTTTTCACGTTCCTCAGTACATATCTTAATATCAAACGCTATCACAAATCTTGTTGTTCAACTTCTGTTGAATTAAAAACATGAATATATTTTGACGTCATTAAGTATCCCAAGTTTTTAAAAACTGCCAGAGTGAAGAAACCGTAAAAACGTGTCGTTGACGTAGGTGTCAAAACCGAATGATATTTACAAAAGACCCCTTTAGTTAACTCGTAAAGACACCCTGCTTGCCTTGCTATTAATCTTGTCACCGTTTTCAGTTTTGTGCCTCATGTTGTTCTGTAGAACTATGGTCTACTATGATATTAGTACTGCTCTAATAATAGACCTAATCCTAAATTTGTAGATTTGTCATGATATAACTGCCTAATCTATAAGATCTTACGTGGAAGTCACACCATCGACTACATCAACTCACTGTATCGTATCAATTACCAATACATGATGAAGAACAAGGTTAGGCTGGAGAAAGAACAATATATTTAATATGAATAGAAGATATAAAGTAACATTGAGATGGACCACGCCTGCATGGACGAGCCATGCCATCCGATCAAACCCAGTCCATTCCATTCATTCCTCGCGCCTTCTTCATTGTTAGGTATTTCCCCAAGTTAAATATTGAACATCTATTTTCTGAGTAGTCTCGTGTTCACAGCTTTGTGGATTGTGTGGCTATCGTCCAATGCCACTACACTACTCTCCCACCAGAATCAACGTGATGTTGGTTCGATACCAAATTGGATGGGATCGTCGCGCGCCGGAGGTTACCAAGGATAATAAGGATCCTCCGGGTATTGATAAGCTGAAAGATAAATCAAAAAGAAGGCGGCAGCATCTGGTCGGGAAATACATGTAATAATCTTAAAATATCTGCTTTCATGATTAACACGCTTAAAATGAAAAGTTGGTTGAAGATTATTTGAACTATAAAAAATGGCATAACACTAATAATAATACAACGATGCGTGCTAATAGCCGTTGGTTAATAACTTAACGTATAGGTAGTAAGTATTTGTGTTTAGAAGTATTAAAGTAATGAATGTTGTAGAAATATTAATATGGGTATTAGTTTTGGTTTAAATTATAAAATCAAATAACGATTATGCCGGTAAGTTGTCCATATGAGTTGAATTCCAACTGCATCTGTATTAGTAGGCTAACTGAAGGGACAAAAGTATACCGTGGAGAAGAATTTCAACTAGTGTTCCAGTTAGTTTGATACGGTTTATTTAGTTACGGGGAGATTTTCTCAACCTCATTTTTACTTGACCGTGATAGAATTTAGTAATACTACTAATACACATGAATGGTTATCAAAATAAAATTTAAATACATGAGTAATAATTATATGGATTTTGGACAGATAGCTAGGAAAAAATCGTTAAACATGAGTGTGTTCGTAAGAGACATGCTCTAGACTCAATGTTCTGATCTGCGATAGACTTTATTTATATTTATACTTGCCGGCTGATGGGCATACAAGTTAGTTGCACGTATGCGGGTAGAATACGATTTAAATGAGATATGGTGATTATAAGTTACTGAAATCAGTTAAGCCTGTGTCACATTACTAAGTGATGTGGTGCTGTAAGATGTACTCGGCCAAATACGTTTTTACAAGATGATTAACCGTGAGTGATGCTCATGTGATTATCAGGGAGTACATAAGTTGTAACCAAGGGGAGTACACTCCCAACTCATGTCTATGATAATGGCTTGAACCTTAGTCAGTGTTGGGGTAAATTCGACATTAATGTTTTCAGTTTGCAGGAGATTTGCTCGACTGCTTATACTGATTATTTGCATGCATGATTGTGTCGCTAAACCATCAATTAGACTGACAAGGTTTCGAGATATTTACTGAGTGAGCATCTGATAGAGAAACATACTGTAATCATCTGTAGTGAATGAAGATAAAAGAAAAACAACACTAGTGATAATTATAAGTCAATTTGTTGACCGATTTCCTTAACAGTTTCATTAATTTTATCAGTCATATTACGTGATTGTCAAGTCATGACAATGCTTTATGACGATATTCTGAAACTATTACGTTTAACTAGTTATAGTGTTGATTGAGGATCAATCAGTGGAAAAATAGGTATTGTTGCTTTAGGCGATTCAAAATTATCAGAAATTTATAACGTTAAAGAATCCGAGACGCCTAATTTAATTATAAATTTTAATTCAGAAATATTCGTTTAGTGTTAATCCTAGTAGGCTACGGAGTTTTGATTTTAAACGTTTGTTTAGCCAACAACTACCTGAGAATTTAGTTATTTTACTAGTGCAGTTGATAGTACCTAAATTTTTAATCTTATTATCTAAACTATGTTTGCATTTTAGGCTGCTAATATGATAAACCAATCCATAAACACAAATACGATTAGCAACAACGACTATGATGGGTTTATTGATAAATGTTAAAGGCGATTCAGATGATTTCTAAATTCAAAAGATATGAAGATATAGTGCAACGCATGTACGGGCCAGGTTAACAAGCAGGTTGTTGACGTATATGACAATTTAAAAATAATGAACATGACCAGACTGCTTATGAAACTTTAGGCAGGAATATGACGCGTTATAACTATTCCATAAGAAGTTACTGGATTTAGCCTAGGGACACTTACAAATATGTAGCAAAAGCAACTGGAAAATATATACATGTTAAGTACAAAACAAATCATCCAGTAAAATAGTTGAACTCGCCTGGATTATTTTTGAAAATTAGATTATTCAGTGGACGACATATGTAACGCCATTCGTGAGTAGTATTGATCCAAAAGCATACAGAATAAAACATGCAGTATGGCAATTAATTCCAGGGTGCTTGATGCTGTTGAGGTTTTTGCCACTCGCTCGGATCAGAACAATCGAATAAACCCAGATAATTATGTGGTTGTCATTGAACGAACCATCTAAAAATGACCTTATGATTGCAGAAAACTTATAGCTG